TATATGTATAAAGTATATACCTATAATATAGTACATATGTATATAGTATATGTACTATATGTATATATATAATATAGTGTAGGTATATACTATACACATGTATCTGTGTCTGTGTGTGTGTGTGTGTGTGTGTGTAATAATCCACCCTATCTTATGCCATGTACAGGATGGGTTTCAGGGCAAACCAAACAAGAACTAAAAGCTGCTCAACACCCCTGGTTAGTGAGCCAGGACAGAGTAACCAGAAAGTAACCCTTGTGAATTTCAAACCTGGGTTCCTCTGTGAGTGACATCAGCCTTTGTTCTCCTGCATTTAGCCCTTCATGCAGAATCCAGCTGTGCCCTCCCCCTCTCTTCTTCCTATGTCCCCCCCCCCTCACTTGCACACACACTGGGTCTCCTTTTCATCTTCAGCGCTTGACCCTTTGCTGCTCACAAGGTTCGTTCAGTTTAGATACAGGAAAAAGACTTCAAACATTCTCCTCCCCTCGGCCGGAGTCTCTTCCCTTCCTCTCTTCTGATTCTTCTCCTCTCTCTCCTCCTTCCCCACCTTCCTCTCCTGTTCACTTTCCACCTTTTTTCTCCTCCTACAGGATGAAACTGGCAAAGGTGCCCCCACCCTGGGAGCTCTCCCTGGCATTTGCTCCTGATGGGGACTGGCTTCCACAAAAGATGCCTTTCTTCTTTAAACCAGAACCATGAGCTCATGTCTGTCAGAAATCTGACAGGGTTGGGAGTTGGAGATGCCAGACTGGGAGGGGCTGGGGCCTGGAGCCAGAGCTGACCACCAAAGTATCACAAAAGAGAGGGGCTCCTAGCAGCTGGTAGAAGAGGAGGTGAGGCTAGGATAGGGGATGTCAAAGGAAGAGGCATAGGGAAGTTTGCAGACACTGAGAAGGAAGTTGATGTCAAGAATGTGGGGCAGTAGGTGACAAGGACTCAGCCACATGAAGGAAAGCAAAGCATCCAGGTCTCAGAATCCTTAATCTGAGGATCAACAAGAGAGAATGGCTTAGAGCCCCAGTCAGGAAACCTGCAGATACCATGCAGAACCTGGCAGAGTAAAAGGTGTACTGGTCAGGTGCTAAAGTCAAAATGCTTAAGTCAAAGGCCAGTTGACTAACCTTTTTTACTGTTGACCTTGAGTTTCAAAGAGCCCCCATAACATGGGGGTGGGGCACCTCTGTGGCTAAAAATACTCAAACAAGGTCAGAGAGCTGCATAGTTACAGGTTCCCCAAGCTTTCCATTTCTCCATCTTGCTCCCTGTCTCAGACTCTCATCCAGCCTGTTAGGCTGCAGAGTCTGCAACATGGAGGAACGCCAAAAGCATATTCCACACATAGGCAGGTGAGCACCAAGCACTTAAGCCCAGATGACCACCGTAAGCAGGTGCCTCCTGGCATCGTCCTCCCCCCAGGCTTCTACCCAGTCCAAAACAATTCTGACCTCGACACCCAGATGTCCCCACGACTCAGTAGCATCTCCCTGTTTCTTGCCTGCCTCTCTGGTCTGCACCCTTCCTGGAAGAGTTAGCCTCTAAGGGTCCTCCCATCTCCAGTTGTTCTGAGCTAACCCTGGCCACATAGAAGACTGCTCTCTGTGTCTGCCACAGTTATACCTCTAGAACAAATTGTCCCCCAGGGGCTGAAGCATCTCTTCAAGAAGAAATTTCTGTCTATTTTTACCCTAGACAAAAGCCCATCCTGACCACCTGTCACTCATAGCACGCCGTTGACATGTGATGCATGCGTGCTCCCTGAGAAAAAAGGACCACCCTGCGAAATGGCTTGGTGTGAGAATGCCTATCACCATTTGTGGCTTTCCATCCACCACTGCTGTTTCTCCAACTCTCACAAAGAATTCATTTCCTCAGGGACAACCAGCCTAAAACACAGTCTTTGTCTTCAATTTCAAATGTCCAAATCCCCAAGAGTTAAAATATTTGGGATTTGTTTAGGGTTTTGTTAGTTTGGTGCTGCAACTCATCTGGAGACAAATCCTGACCTAAACCGACACTAAACCACTTTCCCCTCAACGCTCACTCTAGAAATCCTGACATTTCACTGCGGAAATATGAATGTGTCTGCTTTTCAGATGCGACTCCAGACCTCCCAGGATGGTGCAACATGTTTGGCACCTCTCTGAATTCTAAAACACCCTGACTTCAAGGGTTTCTAGACATGGGCAACATTAGGAGAATTAGAAATTCTAGGACCAGATCTGCCCAGCCCATCTCTCGAAGGGACTCACTGAGTGGAACACCTGTCACTTTGCATTTCTCTGTCTGTTCCCAGCACCTCTGAGCACTGCCATCCCCTTACCTACCTGACTAGAGAAAGTGAGATCATTACAGGGTTGTTTTGCACAGACAACCTATTCACATCTGGGTGGCTAATGTTGATAATTACCGTGCTGGTTACTAAATCTGTCAGGTTTAGGTGAGGTGAGGCTCTGCAGCTGGGGCTGTTGCTCACGGCTTCCTGGGCAGAGAGAGAGAGGTGAGAACAAATCCAAGAAAGGTGTGTTTGGATGCTTGGGCTCCAGTGAGACTGGTTAATTACCAGTCACTTGCTGTCTCCCTGAGTTGGAGCTTCTGGCTAAGGAACACTCGTGGATCAGACAGATTCCGACAACCTGCTATTTATTTCCACATAAAGAAAGTGGCAGAGACTAAGACGCCGAGGACAAGTGTGGAGACAGTCTCTCAGGTGCCAGGACCACAGCCACGTGATGCAGAGATCCTCAGCACAGGGCAGGAGTGTGATCCATCAGGGAGCAGAGACTACTGTTGTTCCTTTGGAGGGACCTGGGACCTGGAGTGTGCTTGGGACCAAGTCTACCTGCTGCTGGATGAAGTGTATTCATGCAGAACCTTGGATAATGTTCTAACAACCCCCACCCCCGACACACACACACACACACTCGCGCACACACATGCAGGTGTGTATGAGAGAACATCTTTCTGAGAAGCACATCCGCACGTTCATTCAGATTCTCACAGGGTACGGAACAGTCTCCGACCCCCAGAGAGAGGTTGATTACAAACCACTGGCATGGAACCCCAAAGAAACAGGTTGATATTGGGTCGAGCACTCAAAGACTCGGGATTCCTAATGATCCTGAAATTATACTCGAAAGTCACTTATGTGTAAACGTTTGCCAGTTTTTCCAGAAAAAGACTCCAGTGACTTTCGCCAGATTCTCAAAAGTTCCCCACTGCTGAGGAGCTCCCTGGCAGCTCAAGAGATGGACTCTGTCTATGCTTAGCTTCTGCTTTTAAGAGAAGAGCACAAATACCTTAAAACAGGGCTGACAGTTCCAATCAGTATTGGAGATAACCAGGTCCAGCCAGGAACTGGTTGATAGGGCGCTCTACAGCAGAGCCCTCATCCGAGTAATTTTAAGAGTCAAGCATACAGAACCCAGGCTAGTTAGTCAGTAGTGGTCACTAAAGCCTTTGGAGCTGGGCAAAGAGTCCCCAAAAATCTCCAAGGCCCTGGGTCTGGCTTCCAGAAATCCACCAGTCTTATTCATTAAAGGTCAAAATTCACTAACTACTTGCTGAGCACCTATTCTATGCCTAGTTCTATTGTAGATGCAAAATGATGGGTCCACTCATCGTCGTGAACCTTAGCAAGTTACCTGCCCCAAACACGGGTAAATGGGGCGCTGCTAACCAAGTCGTCTTCACCATCTTAGTTGCTCTTCCACCACTACCCTTGGGTCAGAGAGTCCAAAACCATCCCACCCAGCAGAGCCAGCTGGTGGCAACGGAGAAAGAGGAAGCAATAGTACTCTGTGTGGGCAAAGCAGTAAGGGTGGGTGATAGGCGCAGACGCCTGAGCAGGTGGGCCAGGCTCAGCCCTGGTAGGTGCTGCTGGAGAGGGGGCTAGGTAGGGTGAGGACTCTGCCTGCGGGGGGCGCGGATGTGGGGAAGCAGACTGCCCGCAGTTGCCTGGGCCGCCGCGCCTGACCGCCGAGCTGAGCTCGCCTTGCTCCCCGCCCTCTGGGACCGTGGTGAAGCTCTGTTCCCCATACTGAGCAGTTCCCGGGAGGCGCTCGGACACGTCCCTAGGCTGGATAAAGATCGACTCGGAGCTCGCTCCCCAGCGAGAAATCTCGCCATCGGCGTAGCTCGCGCGGCCGCTCCGGCCCGGCCCGGGAGACGCCAGATCGCTATCTGGGAGGCAGAAAGAAGGCAGCGCCGCCGCCCCCGACCCCCGCCCTGCGCGCAGGGTGGCTGCGGGGTCCTGGGGCTCGCCGGCTTCCCCTCCCCCTTGCACTGCCTTCCCCGCGCTCCCACTCTGGGGACATCCGCTTCCCACCCGCTCGGTCCCCAGCGTCCCTCCAAGGCGCCCTCTCCCCACTCGCCAGGCCCCGCTGCCTCCTGAAGGTTACGCGGCGCGGCGGCGGGGCGCGGCAGAGCACGGGGGGCACCCGCCCTCGCCGCCGCCCGCGCCGCCGCCCACCCCAATGCCCGCCGCGCCGGGCCAGCCTGGCTGCCGGCTGCTGCCACCGCAATCCCGGCTCCTAAATCAGCGCGGGGAGGCGCCCCTTCCCCCACCCGGCTCCTCGGGCTCCCCGGGCCGCGATTGGCCGCGCGTGCGCCCCCCAAGCTTGGGCCCCGGCTCCAGCTGCCGCGCCATTGGCTGCGGGCCTCCGCCAGCCTTTACATAAGCCCGGGCGCGCTCGAGTGGAGTTGTATAAAGCGAGCGCGCGGCGTCGGGGCGGGAGGCTCGAGGCCAGCCCGGGACCAGGGCTGGGCGCTGCAAGGCGGCGGCGCCGGCGGCAGAGGCGGCAGCGAGCGCCCGCGCTCCGACGCCCCCAGGCGGTGGGGCTGAGAGAGCCAGAGGATGGCTCCGAGCGCTGACCCGGGCGTGAGTATCCGCTCCTGGAGCCCCCACCCCTTCCGGCGGAGAAAGTTTCTCCAGCCCAGCGCACCCCTCCCCGCACGCCCCCAGGGGTGGCGGGGATGCAGCTAGGGACCTGGGAAGATCAGGACTACGAAGGCGGCGACGCTGCTCCCAACTTGCCAAGAGGCGCTGGACTCGATTGGCGCGCAGATCCTCCCCGCGGGCTGGGGGGCAAGGCGGGCGCCGGGCTGGAGGTGGTGGAAGAGATGGGAGCCGAGGTGTGGGCGTGACAGCCCACAGTTGGCAGAGAACGTGTTAGGGGCACAGAGGATGGAGGTCAGCGATTTGAGAAGGGGGCAATGGGGCTAGTAGGGGGCGGAGCAGGTGAAGGCTGTCTGGGGGTACCCAGCTTGCGGGCTCAGTTTGGGGCCGACTAAGCTACAGCCTCGGCCGATTGCCAAAGCTTCCAGGTTGGGGAAGATCCCCCGGGGCATAGCTCTTCTCCGGGGAAGCCGAGCTGTCTCCCCTGCACAGCGCTGAGTGGCAGAGTGCTCCCGGAGCCAGCCCGATGCACAGCGTAGCTGCCAGCCGCCTTTTGCTGGACCGAGGTGTGGTCTGGCTTTCTAGCTAGGGATGTTTCAGGCAAGCTCTTTTCGGGCATAATAGGGGAACCATGGGGTCCCTCTTGATCTTATGGAATCACATGAAGGTTTTGGTGGGGCAGCAGGCAGGCTTGGGGGTATGCCTAGCAATGCAGCGTGCTTCTTTTGCAGTACAGTAGTTGGGAACCCTGGTTAGTCCCGCTTCTGCAGAAACCAACTAAAGAATCCAAAGTCATCCCAGCCGGGATGGGAGCCTCCCTAGGGGTGGGGGTGGGGGCTCTTTCTTGAATGACTAATGGTTACTATTGCTATTGGGTGGGCTCACCTACCGTGGCATCTGTGCATCCCAGAGGAGCTTCCGTTCTACTGAAAGCATATATGAGTTGCACTTGAGGTACCTTCTGGGATGGGTGCAAGACTTCGAAAATGAAACCAGTTGGGAAAGAAAGCAAAAAGGTTCCCAGAGTAAAGGACCACTGTGTGATGCTGTGTTGAACCTGGGAAGAACTCCTGGGAAAAAGCTATCAAGGGAGATTGAAACCATGATAACTTGGGACAGGAAATACTCCCGTTGAATTAAAGCAGATCCGGAGACTTGAACAGTTCCTCACTCTAGGACATCGATACTGAGAGAAGTGGAGGGTGGAAAAATGGTAATATGGACAGTTGTCCCAATATGGTCTTCAAGGGGGCTGTTTTTCCTCCTCTCTTTCTATCTTGATTAAAAAGCCTCTTCTGGATGCAGGTTCTAAAGTCAATTGAGTAGGCAATGAAGGGAGTTTAGTTCTCGGTGCTGGAGTAGTGAGCCATGATTAGAGCGCTTTGGTCTCCAGTTGGTGCTGATGGACTCTAGTGAAGGTTGAAGGCTGCTGATGGCTTCATCTCTTTAGCTGATGGGTTGGAGTTGGGCCATTCACCGTACCCCACCCCTATCCATGGGAGTGTTTTTAAACTCCTTGGATACTTGCTTTAGGCTAATGATCTTACGTGGGGGTTACCAATCCATAACCAACCCCCATCTCCAGCTCCATTCCCTGTTTGCCCGCAGTCAACATTTCTCTGCTGCATTTCCCAAGACCTTCTTTCCTTTAGGGATGTGTGCAGTGATATGCCTGCTTGTTGCTCTTCCTTTTTGTCTCCATCTGGGCTGCACCTGGCATTCTGAACCCTGATGTTTATTCTTTGACACCAGGGTGTTTGGTTATGGTTGCATGGAAGAGCCCTGTGAATGAGTAGACCAATGGCCTGTGTAATGCAGAGACTGAAACACAGATTCTTATAGAGGGAGTAGACCACCAACCAGGAAATATTTCTGTTAAACGGGTTGTGACCACCTGAGTTGGTCCTCAAGCTTCCTTGCCTCCTTTGAAGTCAGTGGAAGCTTGGAGGTGGAACAGGCTCCTTGGTGACCAGTAGGGGGCACCAAAACCACCTAGCTCAGGACTAGTGACTTGTTTCTCACCCTTCACTGGCCATAGTAACTTAATGCTTTAAGAAAGCTCAGGCCACAACCCCAACAATCACCCATTGTGATTGAGGACATTGTGATTGGGACCATCCAATACGTGTTCTGTGGACTTCAGGTGGTCCTAGGACCTCAGATGCAGTGGGGTGGCAGAATATTCCTGGGAGACACAGCTGGTATATGCCTCCACTTGCTCTCTGAGATCATTGTTTTCCACTTGGTATCTGTGGATTCTTTGAATTCTGGGAACCTAAGAATATTCAAGACTAGAAAAAAAAGAGGAGCTTTGGGGGGCATCTAGTCCACCTCACCCCATCCTCGACATTCTCATGTACAATGTATTTACAAAAAAAAAAAAAATCAGCCGAAGTAAGCCTGGTCTTGTCCAAGGTCACATGGCTGTTTGGTGGAAGAGATGGGGCCAAGCCCCGGGATTCCCAGTTCCTTGTTTGGAGCTTTCTCCACTCCAGTGACCTGCTTCTTCTGTGCTGTGAAAATGCACATATGTTTCTACACAGTAGACACTGGTAATTACTGACTGTCCAGACTTGGGTATACTAATAGCTTTAGTAAATTTAGGGAAATTTTCTTTGCAAGGAAGGCAAGGGCAGATAAAGCTCTCATAATGAACATATATAGGCTGTAGAAATTCCAAGTTATCCTCTCTCCTCCCCCCACAGTCTTGTCTTATTGTTCTAAATGATCTTTAGGCAAAAGCTATGCAACTCCACGTAATGAAATCAGAAATGTACAGGCCCTCACCAGATAGTCTTAGAACCGAAGCCAAGGCTTAGACATCCTCTAAGGCTGGAGCAGTCTGTCACTCCTGCAGTCACACCTCTGCTGGTGGGACCTCTCAAACTCAGATCCCAAGTAAACTAAATTCCCAAAGAATGTTTCCCAATGTCCTTCATCCTTGTCACTCTCAGCTCAAGGTCACCATAACAGAGGCTGTGGTCTCAAACAATTCCTTCTCTTCTGGCATCTGGGGTACCTAGAAGATGCTCTTATTTCTGTCCTTCTGTTCTGCTGATCTGGTGGGTCCATGGCTAACTCTGTTTTCCACTACCACCCAGTTTGTTTACCTACCATATGAACTTCTGTGGGGTTGGTTCTTGGAGCCTTGGCAGATTTGGTGGCTTGTCTTCGTTAAGAACCCTGCTGCCAATCCAGAATTCTGAAAAGTGAAATCCTTCCCTGCTCCTGAGCCTCACCCAGTGGGTGTTTGTTGTCAAGGAAAATGCTTAAGATTGTTCAGGCCTCCGGTCTCACAGACAAGATAGGTCTTCATCCATAAGAAAGGAGGGAGGTGAGGATACAGGACACCAGAGAGTCATAGTCCCTTTCCTTAAGTGCTATTCCAAGAACTGTGTTTGAGATCCTCCTCAGCCTATTTAACTTCTCGGTCTTGATCTGATTCTACATAAGATCAGAGGGGTATAATTACATCCAGTATAGGGAGAGCGTGGGATCTCCTGTGAGGGTAGGTGAGCAAAGATGTGGGAAGAAGGTCTTTGGGGTGCATCTCTTTAGATGTGATGCAAAGAGTTAGTCGTTTGGAAGGGGCTATTAGTGCTGGGTCACGGGGAACACTATGGGATCTTTTCCTCTGCAGCTAAGGCCAAGTGTTGAGGTTTGCACAGCTTCTGGTCATGGTGACATCGGGGCTGATGAGCAAAGTCTGACTGGCAGGTCCCTCTCTGACCCACTGCTGGATTTCCACTTTGGGATTCTGCCATGCTTGGAGAAAAGAAATTTTACAGGTCCCGGGATAATTCTGAATGTGATGGAAGGCCCTGAGCTATTGATTCCTGAGGAAGGATCTTTCTGCTGGGAGAAGCCTTCCTCAGAGCCCAGTGATTTAAGAGTGCTGACAAATCCATGCTCACCGAGCCTCCTGCAGGCTGCAGATAGGCTCCCAGGCCAGCCTGGACTCTGCTCTGGATTTCTGAAGAGTCTGACTGGTTGCTTAGGGGACATAAACCTGTGAACTCTCCTTAGGAGAAAGTATGAAATCAATTGGTTCATTATCACACCAAACACACTCTGGACCACTTAGGGCGTTTAAGAAATAAGAAGCAGCAGAGGACTGTGAGATTGGGTTTGAAACATGTACAAAAAGATGTGAAGGGCTAGAGAAAAGGAGTAAAGGACGGATGGAAAGACTGTTGTTCCACCATGCTCCTCATGTTCTTGACCCTGCTGCAGCCCCTAGACAGTGACTGGAGAGGTTACTGAACTCATACCACCCAGACGTCGGGCGGTGTCTAGAGATAATATAGTGCCACAATTGGAATAAAGGATACTACAAGCATCATCTGGTGGGAGAGAGGCCAGGATGTTGCTGAACATCCTTCAGTGCTCAGGGAAGAGCCCACACTACTGATTAGCTGGACCTCAGAGCTCTATGGTACCAAGATCGGGGCACAGCAGTGCATTACAAGTGGTAGAGATTTTGGAAATGTTCCGATCAGATCTGTTTCATAGATGAGGACACTGAGATCCAAAGTGGAGAGACGATCAGGCAGAACCCAACAGCAAGCGGACAGCGGAGCTAGTCTGGAACTCACATCTGCTCCTTTGAGGCTGGTTTACTCAGACTCCTCCAAAGTTGTGAAGAATAATTATGAGCTATGAAAACACTTAGAAAATTACAAGGAGACTATTATTAATACTGCTATTATTACAAATTTGGGGGTTTGAAAAGTTCTGTTTCTCTGGTGCTGACTCACAGAAACATTGGACCAATCACTCTCTTCCCAAGTCCTATGCTGCTTTGTGTGTGCTTGTGGAAGGGGGGGTGGTCTTAACAAAAGATTAGGATCAGAATCCTTACCAATAGAGGAAAGTCCAAAGATTTGCCTTTCAAAATTGCTAGACATCTAGAAAGAAAAAAAAATGATGGGGGAGAGGAGACTGAAATTTTTTTCCTTGAAAGAAATCAGATGGACTTTGTGTGAAACCAAACACTCCCTTCTTGGAACCATTCCAGTCCCCTGGCCCCGTGCTTTGGTTCCAGCCCAGGAAATCTGATCAACATCCGGAGGCGAAAGTGATAACTCCACAAATGACAGGCGACTGGATTTGTCCCCATTCTCTGGGGCAGGAGAGACTGTGACTTCTCTGCCACCCTTTCTGCTGGGGGGCAGGGCAGGAGGGGGCAGCCTGCACTGGGAAGTTCTACAGGGAAGTTCGGGGAGGGATGGGAAGGCGGGGCACTAATTAGTAAAACCTTGTTTACTTAACAGACATATTCTTAAAGATCTCTT